AACGGAGAGTCTCCAGACTGATTAGCGAGTGAAACCTTGAAAGCTCGCGGGATCAGGATGGTCTCACGAGGCTACCATGTGGCATCAGGCTTTTCCTTACAACCAAACATTAGCACACCAGACTACAGTCATCTCATCAAGTCATCATGTTCAGATTGGACTCACTTGATAAGATGACTGGAGTCTGGTGTGAGACCCCTGCCCTAACCACTAGGCCGCCACTGCCCATATGACTCACAGGTGTTATTTTTTTGCCCAGGTATGTCCTATTATACTAATTAAAACAATCTAAAGAGGCTAAATGTCTGCTTTTAAATTGGTTTATCCTGTTCAGACTTTGTCTATAGAGAAGTTTAACTGGTTTTAAAAAATGAGTTGTGAGTAGGTGAAAAAATTGACTGCCACCATGCTGAGATTCAATAAAAAAATAAAGTCCAGCAATCCCTTAAACTTTGGCTACAGCCAGTACAACCATTTGGGATGTGCTAAAGAAACAAAAGAACCGTCAGCATTAAGACCGCTAATAGTTGCATCCGCAGTAACCGTTAAATAATAACCGAAATTGAAGGTGAACATATGAAAATTAAGAACCAAGAGCAGTGGAGAAGGTACAAACTACCTTTGGCAAGAAGCAGGGAAGGCCAGAGATTTAAGGAGCTTTAAAAATTTCTGCACCAAAGTGTTATGAACTGAGGAGATGAAAGCTTCTTTCACAAAACATTTCTATCACAACGCCTGAAAAGATGAGCAACCTCTGAGCTGCATCTGAAGCCTTGAGGTGGAGGTAGCAGGAGGGATTCATAAATCGGTTCAGGACGGCAGAAGCAGGTGACTTTAGTTCTATGCATAAAATCTATGTTGGAATTCTCAGCATACCAATCTTTTTTATAACAATGTCTGACTAAGTTAGTGCAGCAATCCTGTTTTTAGCTGAACTATATATCTGTATATCTGTCACTTTTTAAGTAGGAAATGATTCCTGCAGGCATCTGTTCTTTGAACTTTAAAAACAGTTGCCCCAATGCAAGTCAGCCAAAAGGGGGCCAAATTTAGTCCCACCTCTGCTGTTAGGAAATCTACAGTATAAGACATGACTGACTGGGTTAAATACGGGTAAAGCCCATTTATTTTTTGAAGTATATTTCTCATATAGCAAGATAACCAACCAGAACATGCTAAAATAAACAACAATAAAGTCTATGTGGAGCAAGAAACAGAAGGTTTTTGACCCCAAACTGCAGCCTGTTCATCACCTCCTAAAGGGATCACAGTTCAAGAATGGTTTTAATAAGGTTCGCAACTGATGCAGATAAACATAAAAAATATACTAGGGTACAATTCTTCCTTACTAAAAGGATGCAGCAAAATTAAAACCCTCTTTAAATTGAAAATGCCATTGGGCTTTTTTTTTTTTTACTTTATGGTTATGCATGTTTTTTTGTTTGTTTTTTTAGTTTTATTTTGTTGCAAATAAGACAACAGACATGCAGTGACTTTTAAAACAGACTTGGACATTTTTTCTTTTGATTTTAATTAAAGGCAAAAAAAAAAAAAGCAAATTTGTGCCACTTCCTGACAATAGACAGAACGAATCTAAAATAAATTTGATCACTTGCAGTGTTGTTCTTCTTAATTAATTAAAAGCTGCAATACTTTGATTTTAAATTTACATTTAATTGATATGGCTGCAGTGAGTCTATTTGATCCCCAATTATGATTGTCTCAGTCATTACACTAGAGAAATCTTTTCATAGATTTTGTGGCCAGATGGGGCCACTAAAGATCTTGGGGTGGCACACTGAAACTAAAAGCCATAATTTCAGGGTTTGAATCTATTGTGGTGAACCTGCCTGTAGAAATAATAAAGACTCAAGAAAACAGCTACTCATATCTACAATTTACACTGGCCAGTGGGGGGGAGCAGGGCTTCGCACAGGGTGGCCACGGCCATCCCCTGGTGGCACCTGCATTGCCGTCTGTAGGGGGCCTGAGGGCCTGGCTGTGCCTTTATTTTTTTTACGGAAATCAGACTTCTTTGTTGTTGTTCTTTTGTATAATTAGTTAATTGTTGAACAAGAAAAAGAAAATGCAGGGTTAAATAAAATCCAAACTTTTGGTTGACAGTTTTGGCTCCCATGGCAAAAAGTCAGGATACTCCTGCCACACAGCTTTTGCATTTTAGCTGATGAAAAGAAGAATTTCTACTTGGATATTACTCACTTTGATATGTTCTAAGTGCATTTGTTCCAAAGCTTCTTAAACATCCGGTTATATACCTGAAAATAAATGCTGATCACCTGTTTCATAATCATCCTTGATTATGAACCAAAATGTTTGTATTCTAGAGCAAAATGAAACTAACTGTCCAGACTTCTCTAATTCTTTTAGAGGGAATGCACATTCAGTGTTCTATGAACCACTTCTTCTTTTCCTTTTTTTACTCCCACTCTCAAGTCTTGACTGAGTTTGCAGTTCTTTTGCCAAAGGCTTTTACCAAAGCAGAAAACCTCTGCAGCAAGAGGCTGTCCTGTCTCGTTAAGACTTTACCTGAACTCACAGTGCGTGTCACGCTCAGCACCGCCATGTGTCCTGGCCTGAACTTGTCGTCGCTGTTCAGCATCATTCACGCCTATGCTGGCCTAAGGTCACACAGAACTCAGCTTTGCTGCTGCCTCTGCAGGGCTGCGGGGGTCTTCTTGGCACAGGAGAGGAGCCAACAAGAACTGCATGCCGCCATCAAAAGGTGCTTTGCCGTAGTCAACAGCTCTGTGTCAGAGGGCATGTCAGCGGCCATCTTGGAGGTAAGTTTTTGCAACGTTGCAATGGTAAGCATTTCTGGGAAAACATTTTTTTTATTTGAGGTGTATTTCTTTCAGTAGTGGCAATTTTTTCTGGTCTTCTTGTTCTGCTTTACAACAATATTATCCGGCTAATTCAAGGGCTGTTACCCAAATTAATTGCCTGACTTCAAAATGTCTATTCCTGAGCGAGTCAGCTTCCAAATCCACTTAATCTTCTTTAAACACAGTCAATTAAGACAACCCACAGTGGGCTTAAACTCTCCCTAGCATGTTTGGGTGTTTCAACTCGCAGCCTGCCGGCGGCAATAAAAATCCCTAACTCTGTAAGTGAACCAGAACAAGAGTGGGCCTGACAGATTTCTGTTCGTGCCTCTGCTTTCTCCATAGCCTACTACTAAAAAATGAGCTGGAGTGTTTTTGTCCCAGACTTTGAATAATCTCAGTGAATTCAGATGTCACTGAGAGTCTGATTCAAATAGAGAAAATTTATATAGGTTCAAAATATAACCTCTTTTAATTAGATATTTTTTGATCATAAGGTTTTAACTCATGAAAAAAAAGTATTTAATGCAGAATAACAATATTTTACTTCCAGCAATACCTGCTTTAAAATAGGTTTGTGCAGGTGGGGATTGAGGAAATTTGGGGCCCTAAACAAAGACACGCAGGGGGGCCTCTGAATTAAGAAGACACACATAAAACAGACCCATTATACAGATACAGAAATTTTAATAGAATATACATTATTTGTTCTACCTATTGTTCCTCTCTTCTTGTCCCTTTTCTTGTTTTCCTCTCTGTTTTATTTTTGTCCCCTTTTCTTTTCATATGTGCTCAGCTGAGTTTTCAAGCTGTCTCAAAATGAAGCAAAGATTTTTATAATCACTGAGCCTATTCTGACTTAGCCGAATCCTCCTTCCGGTGTTTTCAAAAAGGTGATGGCAAAAGTAAATAACACAGTCCTACTGTTCACTGTAGATAAGACATGATCTGCTTATCTTGTCTCCATTTTTCATTTCATTTCAAGATAGAGGAGAGCAGGAGGCGGGGTTACCAATCTACTTGCTCTGGAGAGCAGAGTTTGCTGCTTTTAGATGTTGTTGCCAAAGTCTCCAGTAACGAAGAAAAGTTTCTGACCTGCATGCATGTTGCAGTGAATGCTAATATTCCCCTGCCAGTGCCGCAGACAGGAGGCCTCTAATCGGTCAAATCTATATCCACTCTATGCGTATTTCCTGTTTGGTTCCTTACCGGCTTGTTTTGTTTGTACTGTATGACCGCCATTATGGCAAACGACTCATGAAGTTGCACCAGCTAGAAGAGAGAGGTGCACGAGAACGATGGGACCCTTTTTCCACCTGGATCCCCACTCTCTTTCGCCCCCATGTCCCTCTGTTGTTACACAAACTTAGCCCCACTTCCACACCGCCTCGGCCGTATCTAGACCCACAGCTAGTTCCTGATTGTCGCTCTTTCGTTGTTGCGTCGAATAACATAGCAAAGACCACCCTTCAATATCAGGAATAAATCAGAAATATCTGCCACAAACTGCTGCGGGAGTATAACCAGCCCTTAAGTCCTGATAGTGCTTAATTAGTCCTTTTTTAGCCTGAAAAGAATTTTTGCACCTGGCCGATCAGCAGAAATGTGGTGTGTCTCATTTCAGATCACGAATCCTTCCAAAGCTGGATTTGTAGACCGTTGATGTCAAAGTGCTGCACCAAAACGCTGCCCCATTCCTGCTAAGACTGCGTCCTCCTTTGGCCATTTTGAAGGATAGGTCTGAATTATCCTTTGTTGCCCATCATTTCCCATAATTCATTGCAAGTTGCATCAAAGATGAACGACAATGGCCAAAATTGGGAATATAAATATAAATGATATACTTTCTATGACCCAGCTAACCAAGTAGTCCCCCCTCCCTCTGTGAAGGGGCCTCATTCTGGGCTCACCATGTTGAAGCTACCACTGGGTTTAACTTATTACAGTTAAGAACATTACTCATTCAGATAATATTAAAAAGTTCATGTTTGGATAATTTAATTCTTTTATTCCTTATTAGATAATTTTGGCTGAAATAAAGGTAAATCTTTAAAACAAGGTATTTTAATAAACTCTTCTTGAGTACATTTATAGATAAATAATTAGCTCATCTTCTGATGCGTCCAGCCACAGTTAAACTGCTAGAGTTCCTGAAGGATTAAATATAAAAAAAATAATCAGAGCAATTAGTCGGAATTCAGCCCAAAAAATCCATTTGTCCTTAATGTGGTGGATTAAAACATTTACTTAATGATCCTAAATCGGATTATTCTTGCCAAATATTTCTATACAAAGGTTGTTTTTTTTTCCTCATTCCTTTTGGGCTTCTGTATTTTTCATCAAAACTTAGAATTCTCAAGGCATGTCTGGTTTAATTTTTGACATGTGTCCCATTAATAATGAAAAGTAAGCCCCGTCCATCTAAATAATTAATTCATAGGTTCATAGGTTTCTATCTTTATTGTCATGTGCCCCATGTTGCTTTTATTTTATTGATGTAAAGACTTGTCATGAAAAATAATCACAGGAAATCTAAAGCTTCTGAGATTTGTTTGTTTTTTTCTATGGTAAACGTACAGACAGAGATACAGATAAAATGATGGTTCCTATGGGTCATTAAAATCCTTCAAAACTTTTTCATTTGAACAAATAGGTTCAATATTAAAATAGGCTATAAAAAGACATCCTTAAAAGCACTTGAATTACTATTATCATTTTCTTTAAGGTGGGAAATATAACAAAATTCTGTTGTCCTCAAGTCATTATTTTCTGTTTGTTTAGTTCTAGTGTTTCCTGTACGTTTCTACATATGCATAACAGGACATGCATCAGTGAGCGCAGTCCTCTCACTGGTGAAGGGATGAATTGCCAATTAGGTTAAATTACTCATCAAGGTGGCGTGTAATATCATAGCTGGAAAATGTCAGTCTCAGGATGCATTGCTCGCCATATGTCTCTATAAATTAACATTCAGATTTTTTCACTGGTTCTGTTCATAATTTTTAAGTGTACTAAATAAATAAGGTCTTGCCTTGGAGCAAAGCTAAATATCACCAACACTAAGAACTAAACAACTGAGTTCAGTAGTCGTCCCCATGATATTGTCTATATGTTTAGAATTAGTCTTACAGTGAAGCAAAACATGTAGTCAGCCATTCATTCAATGCCATTGAAAGCCAATTGAAATGTATATTTGGACTTGAAAAATATTCTTGATGATTCTTTAAATGGTAAATGGCATGTACTTATATAGCGCCTTTATTCTTTATTCAGACTTGACCAAAGCGGTTTACACTACATTCATTCACCCATTTACACACACACTGATGGTGGCAAGCTACATTGTAGCCACAGCTGCCCTAGGGCTCACTGACAGAAGCGGGGCTGCCGTACACTGGCGCCATCGGGCCCTCTGACCACCATCAGTAGACAATGCAGGTGAAGTGTCTTGCCCAAGGACACAACGACACTGAAAGTCGGAGTCGGGCTTGAACCGTCAATCCTTCGATTTCAGGGCAAACTCCTACATCCAACGCCACTGTCGCCCTTTAATTGGTACCAGGAGGTCAATGGTATCAAATATATAGCCATAGGTTCTAGACCACAGAAGTTACAGTGAGATGAGAGCAGGAATGGCTGCTGAAGGCAATAGTTACTCATCCATCAAAGCTTTAACTCAAAGAACAACCTTCCTTTAGTTTTCCAAGTGTTCATAACATCAAATACGTTTTTGTGTTTTTTCACATTTGATATTCATTTGATTTCTGAAGGTGCATCCGGACAGAATATGGTGATTTTCACAAGAACTGCCTGGATTTCACCTGCATTTCAGAGGCAGTGTTCACAACCCACAATGTGCGATTACCCCGTTTTACAATGATGCGAGAAGTCTGTCATTTTAAAGGGGTCATATAATGCAAAACCGAGTTTACCTTGTCATAGATTAACAACGATAGTTCAGTGGGTGAAATTGACGTACAGAGAAGTTCAAACCCCATCAACATCTCCTTTCTCTGCAAATCTCACAATGCTAAACTTCCACCATAAACGGGCGAATCCAAATGAAGCCCCAAGTTGACGTCAAACCGGGGATGATGGGCCGCTGACTGGACCGGACCCGGTGACAGTAGGCTTCCCCCCGCAGGCAGGGCTATTATGCGTTTTTGCTCAGCAGCTTCGTTCATTGTAAACTAACCAATCAGCGCACAGCTCATCTAAATATTCATTAGAATACCATAAAAGGAAGAAAACATGTAATTTCATTCTGGGGCTTTTAACCAGGCTTGCATTAGACCTCATATAACAGCAAATATGCCATTTTCAGCCCAACCAATGTTAGACAACCTATTCAGAGACCTTAAGGACCAGCACAAAATACCCTATAGAATCATTCTATGACCCCTTTAAAAATAGATGCACTTCAACTATGAGAGACAAAAATGAAAAGATGAAAATTATGTTTATATATTTGTAAATTATGTTGAAAAATAATTATTTAGTCAATAAGAAAAAAATAATCTCAAAACTTTGTAGCATAGCCACTGTTAGTGATGACAGAGGTCCAGGTTTGCTCAGACCATAGCAGGTATTTTATTTCATTCTTCCGTGCAAATCCCCTCTAGAGCAGTGATATTTTGGGGTCTGTTACTTGGCAACAGACTGTCACCTCCATCCACACATTTTTTATGGGGTTAAAATCTGGAGACTGGCTCAGCCACTCATTTACTCCTTCGTTACCTAGGCAATGTGATTGGGATCCCTGTCCTTCTGGAAGATCCAGCCAACTTTCATCATCAATGCTCTCATGGATGGTTGGAGGTTTTGGATGAAAATCTTAAAATAATTCTTCGCTTAACACAGATCAATTGCAGTGCCCTCTATGTAGCATGATGTTCCCACTCCCATGCTAGGCACGGTGTTCCTCTTCCTCAGAACATGACAAATTGAGATTGTGTCAAAATGTTCTAGGTTGGTTTCACCAATCCTCTTCTGGATCTCCGTATGCTGTGGAACGCTTCAGAAGGACCTGGACAGGCTGTTCGGACATGTACTAACTTGAGCAGGCGGACACTTCTGGCACTGCAGGATTTGAGTCTCTCTGGTGGTAGTGTGCTACTAATAGGGGCCTTTGTTACTTTGGCTCCAGCTCGTCATTCATCAGGTCCCTCTGCGCACTTCTTGGATTGTTGCTCACTGTTTTCATTTGACACAAAAGGATGAGATTTTTCTGTAGGACCCAAGTTAAAGGGATATTATGATTAATCTGGTATGTTTCCCATTTTCTTCCAATTGCTCTGCGGTTGATTTCGTCTCACCAACCTGCTTGCCTGTTGCAGATTCTTCCCAGCCTGGTGCAAGGCTATACTTTTCATACTGGTGTTCTTAAACAACTATTTGGTCTTGTCCATGGTTAAAGTGGGATACTGACTGTTTGAGGCTGTGCATAGGTTCCCTTTATACAAGTAACGGGTTCCAACAGGTGCCATGGATACAGATAATGAGTGGAGGACAGACCTGCAACCTCTTTGAGAAGTTGCAGGTCTTTGAGGACCAGTTATCTTGCTTGTTTAGGATTGACCGAGTACTGATTTTCCACCAAAGTTTACAAATGCATTCATTAAAAATAAATTCATAAAAAATCCTATAATGTCATATTCTCAATTTTTATTTTCCTTATTTTGTCCATCATTGTTGAATTGTACCTATGATGAAAATTACAGACTTCTCATCTTTCAAAGTAGGAGAACTTGCACAATCATGGGCTGAATGAATATTATTTTCCCCTGCTGTATATAATATTCATTTTAGAGATACTTAATTTTGTTTTCTAATACACTGTGATCCATTAATACCAAAGTCAACTGTTCACTGTGTGTAAATGTGTCTCTTAAGTATGAAGGATTTCAACAGAAATAATTTAGTTTTAACTTTTACTGATGTGCTCTTGGTTTGCCTCTGCTTTGCAGGCCATGGATCTCAGAGTACCAGTGCTGGCGAGGGATATACCAGGAAATGCAGCCGTGGTGAAGCACGGAGTCACTGGGCTGCTGTTCTCTTCTCCTCAGGTATCTGCTCCCTGACCAGGTTACTGTTTCCTCTGTGGAAAAAAAAAAGATCAGCAGCACACATACTGTTTAGGAATATAAAGCAGCTACAGCCGCTGAATGCATCATCACTCGCCTAAAGAAATATTTATTGCTTTCTCTCTGTTCTGAAACAGTAATTCACAACAACCAAATATCCCTACGGCTCATTAATAACGTAATTGACTTAACTTTCAGTTCATTAGGTGGTTTTATGGTGAACACATTGATTCTTCTGAGCTCAGAATAAATCAAGAGAATAATTAGACACTGTATCGCCGTATATTGATTAATCACAAAATGTAGCGGCAAACTGGGAAGTGCTAAACAGAAATTTGTTATGAAACCATGCAGCGTGCTGCTTTAATTACGTTTGTTGCGTAGGGAGGATAACATATGCTAAGTGCAGTTGTCAGGGGGCTAAAGCACAGCGCTCTCAAGACGCCATCCTTTGACTCGATTTTGTCATGAATTAAGTCCTCTCTGCGTGTGTCTCCGCTGAACCGAAGCCAGAAAGGTCAGACAGATGGTTGCAACAACTTTGACCGCATAAACTATGACCTCAGCTGGAGCCAATGACCAGTAAATGGCCATCTGTCTGCCATCTTTTAATTCAAGAGCCTTTTTTTTCTTGTTCTGATTAATTGTATTTTCAGCTTGTAATAGCTTATATGTGTCAAAAATATCCCAGTACTTTAAAGCTTTTTAAACTGTTAAAGTTTCAGTCAGATGTAAACTAATCGTGAGCATTGTTTTTCTTTACATTTGTATTTGGACCTTTTAATTGTGCATTTCTATTATCTAGTTATTTACACCTGTGAGATAATTATTTAACACACAACTTAATTGAATAAACACAAAATGAAAGAAGCAAACATTTTCATGCTTGAATCTATTTATGAACAAAATATTTGGTTTAGGCCTCTTAGCAAATTGTATCCTAGTATTTTTTTGCCTGAAATTTAGATGCATCTGTATCATTGTAAGGATCTAACTAAAAATCATCCTACACAAATTTTAATTGGATTGAAGTCTGGGCTTTCCAGGAGCTAAATTTTAGCCTGATTTCTCTTTATCTGTTAGAGTAGAGAGCCTTACTGTGTCTAGGTTTTAACTTGGGTTTTAACCAACTTATGATTTCATGCTAAAAAAAAAAAAGATAAAAAATGCATATAGTATTAATCAGGAAGGGTCTAATAACCCTGTTTATCATCATCTATGAGATGCTGAAGCTTGTTAGGCAAGTTTAACATGAGGTTTATTACAGCCTCTGTTCCAAGTACCTGTGACACAAAGTTTCTATTGCAGCTGCAGACATGCCACACTAAATGCAAAAGATTTGCCACAATTACATCAAAGTGTACTTATAGGAGTAAAGGATGAGGCTTTCAAACCATAGAACGTTGTACCTGTAAACATTGATGATAGAGATGCACCGATCCGATCCCGAGATCGGATATCGGCTCTGATTTAATCTTATTTGCTGAATCACATTTATTTTATTTCTTTCTTTATTTTTGCATATTATTTCTTAATTAATATTATTTTGGTACTTCACTAACTTCACTCACTTCGCAAGATATATGGTTCATTTATTTAAGAGTTGAGTTGGATCGGTACCAGATATTGCTCAGCCCTGGTATTGGACTGGATTGGAAAAAAACTGGATCGATGCATCTCTAATTGGTAATGGCAGCATTATTCTGTGTGTTTGTTTATTTTTTATACCTTCTGTTGCTGTTTTAATGCACGAAGCGGCTTAAACAAAATGGAAAAACAACCTATTTCACCTTAAAGCAGCAGCTATGTAGATGGTTCAGGGCTTGATGTTAACCATCGCCCGATCGCCCGGGGCAATTAGTTTTTATTGTCGGGAGAGTACAAATTTCATTGCATTTGCCCGCCGGGCAAGTGCAATGATTGCAAAAAAAAAAAAAAATTATTTATCACTCAAAATTACTTTAAAATCACCGACATTCGCAAGCGTTGCTGGCGCCATCTTTGTTGTTTTGTACAGATTCTCGCGTGATTTGATCCACTAGATGGTGTGATTTTTCTCTCCTTGGG